AAAATTTCGTAAAAATCATTTCTTTTACCAAAATTACTGTCGTCTGTTGGAAATCTAACAAAACCAAAACTTCGTAAAAACTTGTTCCTTTTATTAAACCTTGTAACTTCGAAAGTAATATGGTACTATTCAACCTGCCTACCAAACATACCATCAAGCTATCTCAAACACAACGTGCACATGCAGACACTCACAAACACTCGCAAAAGATTGGTAATAGCTTAGCTCAGATTGGTAAACACCAACATCAAAAGATTGGTAATAGCTTAGCTCAGATTTCCTAGCCAACCAAGCAACTCGTTTTCCTTCATAGTACTGTAAGGGATTCAATTATTAAAACATTAATTTTTATAATAATATGATGCAAAAATACACTTCTTACCTCTGTGGTTGTCATATTATAAGCAGTGACGTAAACATGCTAGCAAAAGAAAGTTCCAAATGTCTGGCTTAAACCATCAACCATTAATCCACAACCATCTTGAAATGCATAGTTTGATCAGATTTTTTCAGAACTAATTGACAATTTCATTTGAAGAAGAAACAAATGCGTGAAGAAAATTTTATCATGTTCTAAAAGATTTGAAGAATAGTAAGAAAACACATCATACAGTATGAGAAAACAAAGATTTATTTTTAGGGAAAATTGCAGCCGTGGTCCCAAACCTTTCATTTTGTTGCAGATTACACCCAAACCTTTTATTTTTGCGGTCGAAGTCCCAAACCTTTATAAGTAATTGCAGCGTCGGTCTCAAGCCTTTAATTACGTCTATAAAACCGTCAGTCAACCTTTCAACAGTAATTTTGACTCGAAAAAATTGCAGCGCTGGTCCCAAACCTTTCATTTTGTTGTAGATTACACCTAAACCATTAATTTTTGCGCCCGAAATCCCAAACCTTTATATAAAATTACAACGTTGGTCCATTTTATGCATTTCGTCCATAAAATCATCAGTCAACGTTGATACAGTACTTTTAACTCAAATGAAATCTTAATTGATGGGTAAAATTGTCAAAACAAGTTATCCAAAAAAATGTTTGTTTTATTCAAATCTTTCAATCTTTTCACAGCCATTACATTCTCATCATCGATAACCATCTGGTCAAATAACAATCTGAT